AAATGAAGGATCGGAGCTCTAACAGTAGGGTTTAGGGTTTAGGGTTTAGGGTCTAACAGTAGGTTTAACCGACCCATAGTCACCCGAAGAATGGCAGCAAAAGCGGGTGCAGAAGCTTGAAGGCTGCCACCATGAGTTTGCATTCTGCCAGGAAGGACTGCAAGTTATCGACCAATAGGTGTTCACCGCCGTGTGCGAGAAGCAGCCTGCAGAGTTTATCGTTTGCTCGCGTGGTCAGAGCCGCTTTGTTGAGCCAGGCGGAGGATGGACAACGGGATGCAAGCGCTGCGACTGGAACGGCAGCAGCATCCGCTGCAGTTGCATTTTATGCGGACCGTTTGCATCACCGCTCTTGCGGAAAAGAAAGATACACACCCATTGATGCCACGGTGATTGTGACAATGCTGAGAATACTGTTTTCAGATGTTGACTCAATGCACCTCTGTTATTATGGCCGTGATCGTAGACCCTCTGTAAACTCTTAGCCCCTACCCATAGGCTCCATAGTAGTTCCTTTTTGGGATTACCTTATAGGATTCTAAATATGAGCCCCAAAAAGGAATTACTATGGAGCTTATCGGTAAACCTCCAAACCCCGAAACTCTAAGCTGCCAGCTCCTGTAAACCCTAAATCCAAAACCGGAAGCCTTTCGTTCCTAAAGGTAACATACTATGTACCACTAGCCCCATGCCCGAAAGGCCGAAGCTGTTACGCTCATCCCTTACGCCCTCGATGATTGGTGGCCCTTCTGGCGGGGTAGGGCCAATTTAGTGCTCGGTGTCATAACCGAATACGCCCAAAACTGCTAAACCCCGGACTCTAAGTTTGCAAGGGCTTGCAAAGGAGCATGAGGGTATTCGAGGGGGAGGCCTTTAAGGTTTAGGCTTCTGGATTTAGGATTTTCGAGGCTTAGGGTATAGGGCTTAAGGTTCAAGGCTGAGGGTGCATAATTTGTGCGGTTTTGGACTGTGGGTTCAGGGCTAAGGGTTCAGGGTAAAGGTTCAGGTTTAGGATTCGGGGCTTGTGAGGTTTTCGATATTGGGTTCAGGGTTTAGGGTTGAAGGTTAAAGAATCTTGCGTGCTAGACACTGTTTAGCCTCACCTCGAGCTCAACCGTTGAACCTACAGCCCCTATCCCACCAATATAGAACCCGTTACCAACCTCCGTTATATCTTCACATACCGCTCTGGATGACCATAGGTAGGCCGTCCAGGCACACCCCAGACGTAAACCCTGGCCCAAGCCGTATATGGGAGTTTCCGAAAACTAAGGTTACCTTATTTTGGGGTCCTTGTAATAAGGACCCTGCAATTTGAGGATAGTAAATAATTCCCCCATTATCGCAAACTCCCATTTTCCCTTAACCCGTAAAGCCTAAGCACCCTTTGACAAAAGTACTTCAGGAACACTTCTCCGGAGACGCCCCGGAACGGAAAGGTGGACCATGTATATGCACGACTCAGGGATCAAAGGACGTTCTAAACAAGAGCATAGGGCTCAATTCCCGATTCCGTAAGCCCTGAACCTTTAAAGCCCCGTAAGACTTCCCGGTTTAGGGCTTGGCACGTCGGATCCCGAAAACCGTGGCAGGCAGTAGCACCCAGGGCCTCTCCCATCTCGCCTGCTAAACCCTGCTCTGCGCCGAGCCCCAAAGTCTGCTTAGACCCCGCAAACTACCCGGAACATTCGACAATCATCCCTGAGCGCTGCAACCCTGAACCTTATATAAAACCTATAGAGTCCATAAACTAGGATGCCCAGTAGTGCCCTTATTCGCTTTTTGTAGTTACGGGGCATCCTAGTGAAAGCCCAAGGCCCGAGACCCTGAAGCCAAAGCCCCAACCCCCTAAATTGAAACGGCTACTGCATCCAGCTGCATTACCTTACCCTCCCTAAGGCTCCATGTACCCATATAGTATATACTCCGGCCTTAAAGTACCTATATAGAGCCCCTTTAAGGCTTAAGTATCTGCTATAACGGTACATGGAGCCTTTGGGCCTGGAGCTCCTAGCCAGAAAACATGGTAGGTCATGAGCCTCAAAGTAGAAGGTGCAACCCTTGAGTCTGAGGTTTCTGGATCCTTACTTGGAGGATCATGGGACTTAGTGAGTCTGGTTATAAGTACCTTAAGTGGGTTTATAATGTAATTATATGTATAGTTACCTGAGTTATGACACTAGTTACTACGTATCATGATCCTCTAAGTGATCCTCAAACCCTACATCAGGCTGTGTGTTCTGCCAGGGATGTTGATCTTCAACGGTTCGGCAAATAAGAAGACTAGGATGCCCAGTAGTACCCTTATTCCCTTTTTGTAGTCCTAGGTTCCTTATAAAGTTACCCAATACCAAAAAGAGAGGCCTTTTTATTCCTAGGTTACTGGGTCTCCTAGAAGACCTGGGGGTTCAGATCTAGGGTTCGGGGGTTTGAGGGTTTAGAAAGGGTTTAGGGTTTATGGTGTAGGGTTTAGGGTTCCAGGTATGTTTTTTTTCCTAAAGCTTGCTGCAGCCCGGGACCCGGTTTAGGGTTTAGGGTTCGGGGGGTTAGGGTTTAGTTAGGGTTTAGGGTTTCGAGATTGACTCTTGACTTACGTAGCCTGGTGTGCTTCCAAGCCGCCGCACTCAAGCACCGCGAGCTCTGCTGGAATTTTTACCTGCGCCCTATATCCTAACATGTTTGCAGGACCTGCCAAAAAAGTCTCAGCAACCCTTGCAACCCACAATTTCTGTTTCCAACACTACATGAGCAATTCGGGTGAAGAACTAGTCCACGTAACTTTAAGCCCTCAGCCTAAGCCCCAAACCCTACACCCGAAACCCTAAACCCTACACCCTGAACCCTAAACCCTGAACCCTAATCCCATCACCGTCGCTGCTTGAGCCCGGCGGCTTCCACGAATTGGACGAGCCCTGGCCTTGAAATTTCCTGGCTTTTGTTTAGGGCTCATGGTTCCTTTGAAGATTTCCTGAAAAGGGGACTTGAAGGGTTATAGGGGTTTAGGGTTTAGGGTTTAGGGTTTAGGGTTTAGGGTTTAGGGTTTAGGGTTTAGGGTTTAGGGTCTATAAGGGCTTGGGGTTTAGGGTTTCTCAGAGGGATTTAGGGGGTTCGGGGGTTCAGGGTTTACGGGAAGGGGTTGGGGTTTAGGGCTTAGGGGGCATCGATTCTGTGTACGAGGTAGGCTGCGGGTTTAAGGTCTTCTAGGGTAGGTTAGGCTTTACGGGTGAGTGTATTTAGAGGGCTCCTAACCCTAAACCCTAAACCCTAAACCCTAAACCCTAAACCCTAACCGTCTTGGGCGCTTTCTCATCGGTGCGCGGCTTTATCATTCGTAGCACATTATTTGACAGGAGCCCAGACGGGTTCTTTAAGCTTTCATACTAAAATCCTTACCTTGGTACATTTTGCCCTTGGGGGAAAACAGATTCTGCAGCCGCCGCTCTTCATTCAAGTAGGGCTAATTTCATAATTTCATCGGAACTCGTAAAGTAGATAGAAACCAGAAAGTTGGAGCATCATTGTCCTGATGCTTTTGAGGTATAAAGTATAAAAATCCCAGCGCTTATCATCCTAAATCCATGTTCCAGCTTTCCGGGGCCACTATGTGTGGTGTCTTACAAAAAGCACGAAGTTCACGCAGTTGCGATCGATCAGGGTTCTATAAGGTTCAGGGTTCAGGAACCCAGAGACTCCAAAACCCCTTAGGTAAGGAATATACCTTGAATCATCTTAGGGATCCTATCATAATTTCAGGTATATTCCTTATTTGTACGGTTTAAGGTTTGGGCTGTGAGGGCGGGCTGCTACATGTGAGGTGGCCAGTAAACCAGGAAGTGATTGGCACTGGTAGGATTCTGAATAGCAGAACCCTCAACAGGAACCCCCCTAAGACCAAGACTGACAAAGCCCTGTCCAGACCCTCTGTGAAAACTTGTAAACCTTCGATTGTATCCACCTTTTCGCCCCGACTTTTCTGCTATCCAGCTGTCGGGCACCTTCTTAGGTCGGAAACTCTAAACCCTAAACCCCCTTCTTCGGTCGTAGACTCAGCCCCTCCACCGACCCTGCTGTCGTTGAGGTTCCTTCGTCCCTGGCTGGATCATGTCATATGGATCCTGCCTCTCTGAAAAGGCCCCAGGGTTTAGAATTTAATATAGGGGCCTTAATAGTTACCTATACTCTTTTGGGGGTTCCCGATTATAATTAAAGTATAGTGGGCCCCAAAACCCTATTCTAACTCTTTTCGAGGAGCTACCGGGGAAGGGCCTTTAGAAGAACCTGGCTACCTAAGCTTTGGACTCTAGGCACAACCCTGAACTTACACCCCGAAAGCACGCAACAACTTTATATACGCTGAGCAAAAAGGCCTGCATGTGTGTCATTCTGCGCAGGGGCTCATGCTGAAATCACTCCAACACTCCCCCCTTTGCGCTTCGCAAAGCCTAATGGTCTGTTTAGACCCTGTGGACTTCTACCTCATTCGAGGGATCCATCCATTCAGGAGTCATGGAGCCATTGTCTTAGAGCTCAAGGCCTTTCGAAAGAATCAAACAAGGATAAAGTCTGAAGACTAGTAGTTTAAAAGCCCCTTTAACCCCGCGGTACCGCCTCAAAAATCCACAAGGGAAAGGACGGATGGTGGCACGGCGAGGAGGGAAGAAGGAAGTCGAGGGCCTGACTAGCCCCGAAGGAAGGCTAAGTCCAGCCATGAGGAAGAAAGCGACACTTACAGGTCGCTGCAAAAGTCCAGGCCGGCAGGCAGCGGATCAGTTTAACGAGTTGGTGCTCGGAGGCTATGGTAGCCTGCAAGGCACTGGTTGCCTTGAAGTCCATCACTCACCCTCCCCTGCGGCGTCGAAGTCCAGTAGGGAGATTGGTATGGAAGACCGTGCGGCCAACCACACAGTCACTGCACGGAAGCAGTGATGAATGATCCCGGTTTCGGAGATGGTAGCACTCGGGATTTTGATGCCAGTGGGAGCCGCTGGAGGTAGAATGGCTCACCAGGTCAATTGGGTGACGGTATGTAGCTGCAGGAGCAGCTGGAAGAACAGGAGGAAGAGGAGCGTAGTCCTCAGGATTGGTATTCACTCCGATGGATCGAAGATTCGAAGTGGATCTAGAAGATAAAGAGGCTCCACCGGGAAGTCGAGCACCGATGGAGGAGGACGAACCCCTGGGAAGTCGAGCACCAGGGACTGGCAACTGTGTGGAAGAGGAAGGCGGGGTGCTTGCGGCAGGCTGCTGCGTGGTCCCAGAATCGGGCGAGGAATGCACATCCAGAACCCCGGGAAATCGAGCACCGAGGCCTGGGAACACGTACGCAACTACGCCTAAGAACCTCCTAAGGAATGACCTAAAACCCTCGTAGGCTAAGATCACAACCGTAAGGTACACTATAACCCAACCCCAACCCTCAGGCTCAGGAGAGCCTTGCCCTTTCAGAAGCAGGGCACAGCATGCCAGCACTGCAGCTAGCCGCAACCTACAATCCTCAGACGGATTCTTAACCCCTAAAAACGGCAACATGTCGCCGAACTTTGAGGCTGTCATCGCCTTTGTAAGGATGTCGGCGGGCATCAGCAAGCCGCTTAAGTGATAAACCGTCCAAACACCATTTTCGATCCTTTCACGTAGGGCATGGGACCTAAGTCTTAAGTGGCGGGATCTCCAGGAAGTTGGGGGGCCGCTTACAATGCTTATTGCTGAAGAATTATCTCCGAAGAGGGATCGAGTAAGGGGCTCTGGAAAGATCTCCCCAATCAAGGCCTCAACAGCTTCAGCTGCTTGCACAACACAGACGTAGCTGATCAGCTCGCTCTCAGCGGTTGACAGAGCAGTCAGCGTCTGGCGGCCAGATTCCCAGTGGAGCGGAGCTCCAGCCCAGCACACTAGCAGACCCTGGTGGGATCTGCCTGAACTTGGCCCAAAAGAGGCGTCTGCAAAAGCATGCAACGTCGTTTCAACGACGGGCCTCGGATACTGTTGAGAGGCCCCGCAGTCTCCAGGAGGAGGGCCATACACAATGCACTGGTAGGGTGAAGAATTCAAGAAACGCAACACTCCCTGCCCAATGCTTAGCGCATCCTTTGGCCTCTTGGTGGTCAACTGTGCCATGCGGCTGACTGGAAAAGACAGCTCGGGGCGCGCTCGAACTGAGAGCCACAGTAGCTCACCAGTTATGCTTTGAGCGGCCTTAACCGCTTCCGGATCAACCGGGTCATCACGGCTTTCGCCATCATCGAAGTTGGCTGACCACGCGGCACATGGAGACTTGGCACTCCCCTGCACGTTGTGCCTCTTCAAGAGTTCCTTGATGTACTTGGTCTGCCCAATCAAGAGACCATCAGCAGACTCCGAAATCTCAAGACCGCAATATTCAACTGGGCCATCTTCAGTATGCGTAAATGCGCTGCACTCCCATGTGGCCTTGATTTTTTCAAGAAGAGCAGATCGCTCCGACCAGGGTCCCAACACTAGGAGGTCATCGACATACCAACACATCAAGGCAACAGTCTCGCCGCAAGGGGACTTGACGAGCCAAATGTTGGGGTCCGCAACGCACTGTTGCAAGTGGCGGTTCTCGCCATCAACGGTCCAGGTCAGGACTCTGCAGGTTTTGTCCCGGAGGCGGGACCAAGCACGAGGGGAGGTCTGGAGTCCATAAAGAGCACCGTGGACTCTCCACTTGTAGCCCCTCGGGATAACTCCCGCGGCATACAGCACCTTAGGTGGATTGCAGATCAGATACTCTGCCTCCTGCTCATCAAGAGGAGCGTTGAGGAAGGCAGTCTTGACATCAGTTCCTGAACCACCGTGCTTCCTCATGCCCGCCCATCTCAAGGCAGTGCGGATCGAAAGAGAATCCGCTCCTCCGGCATAGAAGGACTCTGCCGCCCTTTCCTCGGACCACTTTTGAAAATTGCCGCAAGTTACAGCTCTATACTTATTTCTCTTAGTGGATCCGGGAGCTACTGGGGGCTTTTCAGTGGCAACACCCCGGCCGGGGAGGATCTCTACATCTTCACCATCTAAAATCCATTTTTCAACTTGACTATCTGCCACAAGCTCAACAGCACCCTTCGAAACCAAGGAATCGCACTCTGCTTTCATGGCATCCCGCCATTCATGCAGTTTCTCACGGACTTCCTCATTCGAGACGATGCGGGTATGCAGCAAGGGCTGAGACTCAAGATGTTCTGCTGCAGGGGCAGCGGCACACACCCTCCACGAGGAGGAACTGACAGGCTCATCGCAGCCATACAGGCGCGCAAGTTCTAGATGCCAGCCCAACTCATTTCGAAGGGAGGAGGCTTCGCGCATCGCCTGCAAGGTGATAGGGTCAACTGGGCCTTCAGAAGAAGCGCCCACAACAGATCGTTGCAGTGACTTCAAGAAATGCGTCACTGCTTGGTGCATTTGCTCATATCCCTGAGTCACCTGACTCCACGATTCCTCTGCCGGGAGGTCTGCTTCCTCTTCACCTGAGTCACACTCATCTGGAAGCGATTTCGACACACCGTCTCCAGGAGAGGGTTCTCCGATGACGGAAGACGACGACAGAGGCTCAAGGTCCTGGATTGGCATATTCACCCATCTCAAGCTTAGAAGATCCGAAGAAGTTAACTTTTCAAGAGATCTAGGGGTGTAGCCCAAAACCAGGATTTTGTCTCCTTCCCAACTTCCAGACTTATGGAGATCACGCGGGGGGAAACTAAGCCAGGCATTTGGCGGAAGAGGCATCTCATGGCCCCGGACCTCAAGAGAACCTGAGCCTTGCCCGACATTCCAAACCACATTCATTGACTCAAGGGAATTGTGAGAGTCCCGATGAATCTCTGACTCAATGTTGACGACAAAGCCAACGGAGGCAAAGCAATGCCCAGTGCGGTGGAAGAGGCTCACAGCAAGAAGGCGAGTGAGCCACGGGCACTCATGCACCGTATTGGTGATTCCAACCTTAGCACTGAAAACCCAAGCCCCGGAAGACCAGAACCAAGGAGGGAGCGTTGCTCCTGAAGCTTCATCTTTCTGGTTCCCGGCAAGAGGGCGCTTCGCGATCCGATTGATCGCTTTCTTATCTTGAACGTACAAACGGATAGCATTTGCAAGCTGACCCGTGGAAACGGAGTTTCCTTCAAGAAGCACCTGCTTGCAGAAGGTCTCACACGGAGAGAACGCTTCTGTTGCCGACGGGGAACCGCCAGAGTTAGAGAAGAGCCGAGCAACACGAAAGGCAGGCCCAGCATCAGGGTCCCGACGCGGAGAACGATCTCTCCTGTTCTCAAAGGGCGGAGGCCCTTGGGGATTGGGAACTGGGTTGCGACCGGTCTCTTCAGAAGAGCGGAACCGATCTTGCCATATCATGTTACTTTCGATCAGAAACCACTGAGGAGGTTGACCATATCGGATGGCCCGGTAAAGGTAGGCGCGACGATTGGGTTCGTCTTCAAAGTCGACGACCCTTTCGGTTTCTACGACGCCAAGGAGGTCAAGCTCGTACTCAGTGTTCTGATCATTCAAGCCACCGGGCTGATACCCAAACACATAGGGCACAGGAGCATTGGTATGCCGGTGATCCCAAATCATACGCACCTCAGGCATGGTGGTCCAATTTCGACCCCGAAGAACAAACAGTCCGATCATAAAGGCATGTTCGGGGTTGTGCATAGTGTGAACCAAACAGCCAAAGTTTTGCAGATCGAGCTCATTCCAGCCACTGGCTGGGACGACCACGTTGGAGTCGTTCTGCTTCCCGATCACTCAGCACTGCATACCGGCGGTCCCATCGCGGAGTTGGGACATTCACATCCGCTCTATCATTATGATCAAGTTTTTTCAACCAAAAGTCATACATCGACGGGGCGGGGGCTTCAGGCACCGTGGAAGTGGCTGTTCCTAAGGCGATGGCTTTAACCCTTTCAGGGACATCATAGCCACCCGCACTTTCAGGATTATCCTCTAACCAACGGGCTATCATAGCTCCAACCACAATCCAGCCAACCTTAGGCTCAAGAGCGTTGGGAAGCATACGGCCTCCTCGTTGCTCGGACTGGAAACCCCGAATTGCATAATGCAACGTTTTTTCAAGATCATCATCATTCTCAAGAACTTCCACACAGCCCTGCAGCCCAATCTGAATGATGTAAGGGCTCAGCGGTGCACCTGACTGGAGCATGTGGCATAAAGGATTGCTGGGAGGATCAATGGTCCATTCAGCGATGCTAGATTGCAGGGTGGAGTAAGTATCCACAGTGGAGGTGTTCCCAGAACTAGAAGACACCGGGCCCGTTGCTGACACATCCAGCGATCCTGAAGAAAAGCTGGACACCGAACCAGACGGGTCTGGGACCGCAGGAGCTTCAGCAGGCATGGGTGACGAGTAGCCTTGGCCGGGACGGTCGGCAGCACTCGAGGTCTCAGCAAGCATTGGTGGCGGATAGCCTTGGCTAGATGAAGCGCTGTAGGACCCTGAGGCACTGGAGGCCTCGTCCTTCACTCGGAATGCCCGAATATGAGGCGGGTCAATGGGACCAGGCACAGCTAAGGGACTGGGGGGCTCCTGTTCAAAGAGTCGCAAGACTACAACCCGAATCTCATAGGTCCGAAAGTCCCTTATGGTGAAGGCAACTAGCCTATCCCCAAATGCGCTATCATCGGCATACCAGCCATCATCATCATGGTGCTGAAGAACCTCAAACAATGGGGCCCGGCGGCCATCGGCATCTTGATATTCCATGGTGGGATAGCGATCCCAGCGGTGATTTCTCAAGGTACCCCGAAGAAGGAGGAAGGGGATTTCAGTATCCCCATCAACAGGATCACCAGGATCCAAGAAGCGGGTAAGGTCCGACATCTGACGTTCAAATTCCTCCTCTTCAAGATAACACACCGCTGCCCACTGCTCAGGAGACATGTAGGCAAAGGAGACCTGAAGCACGCGGTGGTTGATGCCTTGCACATTTCTGCCACCAGGGGCTGGATTGGCCTCAGGCATACGCTGTGGGTTCGGACCCACAAACCTTAGAACCCGATGCCCACAAGGCTCCCCCGGGCCTCTTGAACCCTCGCCCAAATTGGTAGGCGGCATTCCCGGAGCGTCATCCGCTTCACGGGTTTCTGCAATCTCCCCCGGGCTCTCTGAACATGAGTCCTCTCCGGATTCCCTTCTATCCTCAGAAGAAAAAACCTCATCAGACGCAGCTGGATCTTCACAGACACCTTGCAAGGTCGAGAACTCCTGCTGGGGAACTTCCGGCATCCCAGCTGTCTGTGGGTAGTCAGACGAATCTGACAAGAAGTCAACCGGCCCATCCGAACCAGCTTTCAAGGAATCCTCAGACTCAGAAAAACTCCGACGGGAAAATTCGCCCGAACCGTAAAAATCCGAAAAATCTGCTATGGCACTCATCCCCCCCGCAGCAGGAAGAGAAGGGCCTTGCAACGTGACCCGAACAGAAGGGCCCTTGGAGCCGTGACGGTAGTGGGGCGTCGGCAAAAACGCACCTGTGCTGGAACCCGACAAGGGCTTCGGCCTAAGAGGAGGCTCAGCAGGCTCAGACGGAGGGCGCGGCCGGTAATCAACAGGATACACCGCCGACGTAATGCACACCGTGTCATCCTCAAACAGCACAAGGTACGAAGACAAGGTCTGCGGAGCCGGGCCAATCAGGACTCCAGACCGAGTTCGGGACATCCAAACATCCCTGTGGCGAAGGCGCTTGCGAGCCTCAACAGGCGTGCCGTAAGCCAGCAAAGACCTGGCCGCACCACCCAAACGAACAAGGCCCTTACGCCACATCACTTCTCCGGCATGTCTCACTGCCGTGGGCCAGTGGCACGAAGGCAGATTCGCCGAAAGAAGAGCTCTGCGGGCCGCTCGCTTGACTTCTCGAATCGCGACCTCAGCGGCGCCGTTTGAGGGATGGTCCTCAGGGGCTGTCCTTGTGGAGTGAATGCCCTGCTCGGCTAGAAACCTTTCGAGCGAATCACTCAAGTATTCCCGAGCCCTGTCGCTATGGAAGCGAAAGCACGGAATGCCAAACGCTCGGAGGCGGGCAACAGCACGCATGATTGCAAGCTGCACATTGAAGGACTGGCGGGTCTTCAGCGGTTCAGCCCACACCAAAGTCACAAACTCTTGACCATCATCAGAGTCACTGCCCTCAGGCTGAAGCGGCGGAGGCTTGTGAGGAGATTTAACCTCAAAGCTCACAGGAAGAGCTGAGTCATCATCCTCCCCCGGCGTGGAAGAAACCCCAACGGCCGAGCTTGGCTCTTCAAGGAAGTCATCCCCAAGCTTTGTGTACACCTTAACCCGAGAAGGCTGCTCAGCATCCCCCCTTAAGGGCTCTCCGGTAACATGCACCGGCTGGTAGATCAAGCTTGCATGGGGATCCTCCTTATCCTGGGCCTTAGCCTCATCAACCTTTTCTTGGAAAGCTATTTCAGAAGACTTATCCCGCCACTCCTTCTTATCACTTTTGACTGGCACCCTTATTGTGAAAATCACAAAATACCTGCACGCTCCTCCAAAGTCCCGGCCCTTGTGGTACGGACCCGCAACATCACTGGAGAGCTCAAACAGATGCGGATGCTTCGTGAAGTGGGAGCGATCGCGGGAAGCTCCTTGAATGCAAATTGGGCAATCATTGCGATACGGCAAATGATCTGCTTGGCAGTGCCTTTCCCAAACCTCGGGTGACATCTTCGCCACAGTGGCTTCCTGGCACAAGTTGAGAAGGAGTCCTTCCCGCTCACGGGTGTGAGCCTGCAAGCGCTCAAAGCTGACACAGCAGTAGTCATCCCAGGCCCGCAGAACCCGGCTAACAAGCCCGGGAGCCCATTCCTTGCCGTAGAAGTTAGAAGCCGGGGCTTCAATCACCTCTGGAGGAAGCTTCAGCTCATGAAGAGACTCATACAGCTGAAAGCTGCTGGTATACACGGCAGTGGCCTTAGAGCAGGGATGGCCAAGAGTGCCCTGGTCGAAGCTGGCGGTCCATCCCCCCAGACACACAGAAACATTCTCATACTCGGGCCATTCCCACGCAGTGGAAGTCTCAGGCATTTCCAAGCAGTTGAAGAACTTCTCCTTGGCACACGAGGCCACAAAGGTCAACAGCAGAGACCGGAGGAACAACAGGGTGTCCCGATCAACCAAAGCACGATCGGACGGGCTGAGGTCTGAAAACCCAAACCTATCATCCCCCTCTTCCCCTCGGAACTTCAAGCCATTAGAGGAGGACGCCAGGGCTTCAGGATTGAAGGTCCTGCTTGGCGGGCCACATACGACCCCATCGATGACACCCAGGGTGGCTGCCCGCAGCAGCATGCCAAACACATCATCAGAAAGAAGGTCCGATCCCCTGGAGATATCAACCTCAAGCACTTGGCCGACAGAATGTCGCCACCGCTGCTTTCCAGCAAACAGATGCACCAAGGTTGGGACCTGAGGGTCAAACAGCTGTCTCCTGGTCCGGCGGTTGAAAGGAACGCAGGAGGGATCAAAGGTGGGACTCACCGCAACCTGAGACGCTAACCTTTCTGGGAGCCCAGGAAAGAGGGTCTTAACGATCAGCTGCAGCTCACTTTCGCTGCACGAATCTGCCGCCACATGGGCTGCAACCCACTCCCTTAGGGACGAAAGCCCAACCTCCTCCTGGCCAACTGATCGCTGCCAAAGCTGTTGCGATACGGCCCTTGAGGTCTCACGGCGCAAGAGGAAGCGCTCATACTCGCCAATCAGGCGAAGCACCAGAAACTCTGGCAACTCAGGAGTGCCATCCTTGAGTCTCACCGGGAGGATCCCGAGACCTGGATGCCGCACGTGAATGCCCCTGTCAGTCCAGTTGATCTCACAGCCCAAAAGCGGCAACGCATGCATCGGCAAGATTGGCTGCACTGACTCCCTGACCAACAAAGTCCCGGCGGAGTTCACATGCATCAGAGCCTCGCCGACCGCGAGAGACACGCTCACCGGGCGGGACTCCTGGATTTCCTGAGGCGATGCCTGGCGGAGAGAAGCGGAGGCCCCGCTATCCAACAAGCCGTAGCCCGTCGGGTTGCTCACAGCACTAAGCCGCAAGGCCTTGGTCTTGATCGACCTTAGCACACTCAAGATTTCTGCATTGATGGCTGCATTGCCATCCCCCTGACTCGGAGCTGCAGCCTCTGCCTGGTCATTCGCGGTCCCAGCAGGCGCGGTTTGAGGGTCTACGGTAGCAACCTTAGGTTTACCCCCAGGCTTGCCTTCCTTACCCTTACCTTCCTTAGCCTTACCCTTCGCCTTACCCTTAGGAGAGGAATCGGCAGGGGCCTTTGGTGTCTTAGGGCTAGTGGAAGGGGACTCCTCATTGGCAGCCTTAGCCTCCGCCTTTAACCTGGCTTTCACCGGGCATGAGTCCGCCCAGTGATCTTCGGCACTGCAACAGAAGCATCGGCCCCGCATCTTTTCTTCATCCTGGTCGTGGTAGAACTGACAGGACGACCCGTACGTGCAACCGCCAGCCGTTAGCCAGCTTCTGCAAGGTTTCATGCCTGCACCCGGCGACTTGGGTCCCGCTGGAGAAGTCTTGGCCTTCGGGGTACTTGGAGACGTCTGCAAGCGCTGCAAGCGCTGCTTCTTAGCATCATCCCCTCGGCCCGGAACCTCATCCTTCACAGGATTGTCATCTGTGGAGTGCATCAGGTGCTCCACCTCCGCCTGCATCATTCGACGCAACTCCGACACAGCGTCGGAGGTCGGCTGGTAGTCAACCCCAAGCCGCTCACGGAAAGTGGCAAGTCGGAAAAGGCTCGCGGAGTGCTTCTGCAACACCTTTCCTGTCAGGACATCTAAACCCTTAACCAGAAGCGTGGTGTCAGGCTCTGCTGCGTGCAGTTGCTTCAGGCGCATACGCCATTGGGTCCACTGCCTCAGCAGCTTTGCAGCCTCCGACAAAGTGGAAGCAGCCTTCGGCGTCACCAAAAAACGCAACATGGTTGATCGTTCTGACGCTCCCCCGGGCTGAAACACCGTCATCAGACGAAAGATCATTCCTGCCACACTCAGGTGGCGTGAGGCGACAATGTCAACCCTCACAGCATCCGGGATTGCCTGAAGAATCAAGGTCACGCATCGCTGTTCCAGCAAGGCATGCTGGGGCTGCACCAAATTTACCTGATCAAACTCCTTCTGGATCGACAGCCTTTCAAGCGGGGAAGTGGAGAGCCACCGCACGTAGGCCTGGTTGGCCGCCTGGTATGTATAACCCCACCAGACACTTCCGGTGTCTGACAGTGAAGAAATCATCGGCTGGACCACTGCGATCCAATCTCCAAGCGCGGTGGGGTTGTTAGGGTTGTAGGCCTCTAGGGACGGTAGGGAACTTACATGTTTACCCACAGCTTCAGGCCTAAGGTCCTTAACATCAACCCGACCACTATTTCCAACCGGCGGGGCAGCTATGGGAAGACTTAAACCCGACGGGGCCGGTGGGCTCGGAGGCGGAGTGGACGACGGAGGCCTCGGAGGAGGCGATTGGTATCGAGGCATTGCCGCTCCCGCGCAGGAGGAGACAGCATGGCAGGATGGCACTGGAAGTTGTGCTCCAAACGCAGGATGCTTCGGAGGAGATGGACTGTTACTCCACGCCCCAGAAGTGGGCGGAGCTGCGACCAAGGGCGAAGTCCACTGCGGAGGAGGAGGAGGAACGAAGTCCACAGGCTCTAAAACCAACGAACCATTAACCACCTTCCAGCTATGATTAACTCCCATAACCCTTATCACCCCAGACGAAGTCGGCAACTGGGCACGGGGAGACAGAGCGAAGTACTGAGGTCCAGCACCCGCGGCAGGATGAAGTCCAAAGTCCATAGACGGAACCTCAGAAGGCGAAACGGGATTGGGAATCCCTGAAGAGGATTGGACTCCTGGGGGCCCTGTAAAAGAGTGAAGTCCAAAGTCCATAGACGGAACCTCAGAAGGCGAAAGGGTGGCCCCAGGAGCACTCGTAGTTGAAGTCAAAGGCACCATGTCCCCGGGAAAAGCCATCGGGGAGTGAACAGATGGGCCAAAATCCATATCGAGGGAGGACTGACGTGGAGGCTCTTGACCCAAAACCAGGTCGTGAGTGGAATGAAGGGGGTCCGAAGCATTCCAGGAAGACCACCCCTCAGAAGCGAAAGGAGGCAGAGGTGGCACCGGGGGCAAAGGATAACCCTCCTCAGACTGAAAGTTTACCCTTTGGCCCTTGAGCTCTAGTTCCTCTACTCTACGCCCAGAAGAGGCCGACCCAAAAGATCTGGATCCTCTCGTACTACGTTCAGCCTCAGCTTTCTCTAGCCTATCATGAAGATGCTCAACCAAAGACCGTAGTCTAACGATTTCGAAATGTTGCTCTGAGGGATCCGGGATCTCGTAGGCCGAACTCTTCTGGGACCTCTGGGCTTCCGGAGACAGAGGGATAGACCTCCTTGCTGCGTCTTCACTGACGCTCTCAGCCCTTTCGTTCCCTAATCTCGCGCTACCGGTTTCTAGTTCGAAGTGAGACCTGTTCGGAACCCTTTCTTCTGAAACGCCTTCCCCGACAGTTGTGGAAACTCTCGGAATCCCAAGGCTAGCTGCTGAAGTTCCTGGAAGCTGCCCAGGCGATCCTGAAGCTCCCACAACTCTCGGTCCCAGCACTCCAGAATTCAAAGAGTCCCGAACTTGATTCAAGCCAGCAGGATCCTCATTCGCCAGCTTGGGCGCTGCTTGTCTTCCCAGCTCTCGATCAGACGTTTCCCGCAGTTCCACTGGGTCTTCATCACTCCAAATCGTTACTTTCGTAGCATCATTCAAGAGGCTTGGAGTTGGCTCAAACTTCATGGGAGACATAGACATCCAGTCCATAGGTTCACCCTCTCTGATAGGCCCAGGTTTCCCAGAACGCATCTTTAGACCAGGGTTGGTCGCCTGTCCACTGGCAGCCTGAACCACATCTGAAGTTCTCCCTGTCTCACCATTTCCCGAGCCTTCTGTAGGAAGTCCCTTCCCCTTCCCTCCAGACCCCAACTCATAGTCAGGCTCCAGAACATCATCGTCTACTCGAACCTCGGGAAGCTTCTTGGCCCCATCAAGCCCTTGAGGTCTCGCCTTCTGAAGCTCAACCTCTGCCTTGGCCTTGTCCGACCAGAAGGGGTGCGCTGTCGGCGAGGTCTCCTCCGTAGCCAAGGCAGTCTCCTGTTCCTGATCCCTGGCATCAGGATCTTGCCGTCGGCGGCGCATGGAGGGGTCCATTGTTTCGAGGGACTAGATCTAGAAAGTTATCTCAGCGAACCTATCACCCGACTAAGCTAGGACCTAGAGCCTAGACTTATAAAGTCGGGGAGCGGAGGGCGATACTTAGGGGCCTAAGCCTACAAAGTAGAGCTAAAGGAACCCTAAGGGAGCTTGGGCTCCTAACCTCTTTTCGAGGAGCTACCGGGGAAGGGCCTTTAGAAGAACCTGGCTACCTAAGCGTTGGACTCTAGGCACAACCCTGAACTTCCACCCCGAAAGCACGCAACAACTTTATATACGCTGAGCAAAAAGGCCTGCATGTGTGTCATTCTGCGCAGGGGCTCATGCTGAAATCACTCCAACACTAACTATTCAGGCCTCTATATTAGTTGGGCTCAAGATTTGGGGGTTAGGGTGGCAGGTTTAGGAGTACTGACAACTCGGGTCGGGGGACGTAGCAAGCAAGTTGGTAGTAAGTAGATTTATCGGTACCCCAAAAAGAAAAGGGTGCTAGATGGCGCCATGATACTTATACCTCTATGGTATTTTTTCAGATTTGTTGAGGTTGGCGTTTGCTGGGTTCACTCCTTTTGGACATAGGTTTGCAGAGGCCTCTATAAAGATAACTAGATACAAAGTTCCCCGGCCGTCCAAGTAGGCAGGTCTGGCATCTCGAGGGTGGAAGCTTCCAGGTTTGGGCTCGTTTGGGGGATCGGGGTGCCGGGATTTTGGTATCACCTACTTGGAGGATCATGGGACTTAGTAAGTAAGGTTATAAGTACCCTAAGTGGGGTTATAAGTAATTATCAGTGTAGTTACCTTAGTTATCCCTAGTTACTAAGCCCCATGATCCTCTAAGTACTGCTTGATTCCTAGGGCTGATCCCTGAACCATTAGAATATGTAATATCAATTGATTGATCTTGATTCCGATTCCCTGAAGCGACCCTACAAGACTCTGGTAAGAAACCCTATAGGTCCAAAGGACCCAATAATTAGGCACTTGGGTTTAGGATAGTAGTTATGTAGCTTAAGGTTTAGGAGGGTATATGATTCTTAGGTACTTGGACCCTTAGGGCTAGATTCTCCATTGTAGTTCCTTTTTGGGGTTGCCTTATAGGCTTATAGGTTCCTAATTTAAAAATGGGTTGCGGAACCCGAAAAGGAAACCCTATACAAACCTTAAAGGGACCCTTAAAGGGACCCTTTGTAAAGGGGCCCAGGGTCTTGGGTTTATACATTTCAGGGATGGAGGCTCGGGTATTGAGTCTAGGGCGCTAGTGTCTGGTGGGTAGTGGGTGTGGGTTTAGGGTTGAGGGTTTAGGGTTCAGGATTTAGGGAAGTTGGTGTGGGTTTTTGAGTACCCTGGCCCTCATTATCAGTTTGACTACACGTCAACTCTGCGCATTTCATGGTTCATGCCTCTTGCTGTCAATGTTTTCATTGTGTAAACTCCCTCAGTAGACGAAGTTGGGCATTGTATATCATGTGTGGGATTCCGTGTATATAGTGTCCACGCTGAGCTACCAAAACCTACCTTTTTATAAAAGTCCCTATCAATTCCAGATTCGGGTTCCAAGAAGAACCTTTAGTAAAGTAGGTTATGATAGTCTACCCAGAGGCCCCAAAGTAGTTCCTTTTTGGGATTACCTTATAGAACTCTATATATGAACCCCAAAAGGAACTACTTTCGGGCCTATGGGTAGGGCAGAGTTTAGGGTAGAGCAAGGCTTTATGCCGCAAGGCCTTGCCCTGCCTCGGAAGTCTGGGGCCGCACACGCTTCACCCGATTTTCGACCCTGTGCAGGGAGTCACCATGACTTCAGCCTAGTTGTGGGGTAGGTTGCCTTGAACCACTACAATCCCTACATCATCCCAGACAGTAACCTTTGGCTCCTCGAGGGTTTTGGACAAGTAAGTCAAGCCTATCTGGACCTACTTCAGCTTCAAGTCCAAGCTATCGACCCCCTAAACCCTAAACCCTAAACCCTAAGCCCCTAAACCCCTAAACCCTAAACCCCCGAAGCCCTAAACCCGTAACCCTGAACCTTAAACTCTCGGCGTGGACACCCAATTCTCCCTGGAGGCCCTGTGCCGCTTCCGCACGAAGCCCTGCGAGCGCCTTCTTGCCACAGGCAGTTGCTCCTTCAAGGACTTAGCGTTTAGGGTTTAAGGTTTAGGGGTTTAGGGTTTACGGGTTTAGGGTATAGGGTTTAGGCTTCTGGTTGGCTCTTTAGACTTTAACTTTTTGGGTTTCTATATGAACTATGATAAGGAGGCCAAAAGTTTAACGGGGTTCAGAAGTCAGCCAAGGTTATATTGTGGAGGTCGGAATAGGGTTTAGGGTTTAGGGTCCCCAGTGTCTAATTCTAGGCTATAATAGTTGCATTGTAGTCCTATAGCCTTTTACTATAATATACTCCCAAAACCCCGATTCTAGATATTGAGGCCCTAGAATATTGCTCCTGTGTTCCAGGCATTTTTGAGTTTCACGACTTCAGGATTCATAAGTCGAGAGGAATCGCAGGCTACTGCTCTTTGAAGAGCTGGGGTTCAGGGCCCTTACGGAGGTTTTCAGTGCTGTTTCGTTTGGTTTGTTATGGCACTTAGGGTTCCATAGGTTTAGTTCTCTGGGCGTTCGGAGCTCGCTGGGTTTTAGGTAGTCATGGGGTGAGGCAAGAAGAAGATCGCGGCCCGGCTTTGCAAGTTCAGGGTTCGCGGCTTAGGGACGTTAGGGTCCTGACAGTTTTGAAATTATATCGATCGCTGTAGGACCTATACCCTATATTGTATATACCCTAAACCCTAAACCAATACCGAAAACCCTATAAACCCTGTTAGGGTTTATGTGGCACACTAAGGCTCAAACTACTTACCCCAGAGACCACTAAAACGTCCCCTTTCAGAACCCTCAGAAGCCCCACGCAGGCCCTTCGCCTAAGGCCCAATGTAGACGCAGCGTCGGATGCCCTAGTCGTGTATTTATCTGCTATCAGGGTGGCACGGATTGTAGAGGGACCTTATAGGTAGAAGAGGGCTCCCAACCATCAGGATTTAGGGTCGTTTTGGGGTAAGAGAGTCTCGTAAGACGGAGGAGATTCGCGTGTTTGAGTCACATACCTGAACACGCCAACAGGAACCATATGCACCCTTTATATGCCTCCAACATCCTAATTGCAAGTAGCCGCCAATTCCCACACCTCATGCAGGACAAGTGCCAGTACTCTCACGACGATTGGCTAAGGCGAAATCCGTCCAAGGTGCCTTGGCTCTAGTCTAAGCCCGCAGCCCTACCAGGATCCTCCAAGGGCCCTTTAATTTGATGGAGCCCTCATGGTGAGCAAAAGTGGGTATTTGGGGTAATATTAGAGGGCCGAGGGTAGTTTGGGGGGGTCTAGGAACCCCTAAACTGTACAGTACCCCTGGGCGCTGGCAGAATATCACACAAAACCTATGCCTTCAATTTCTCAGCAAACCCAAAGGCTGCATTGTAGTTTCTGTTTGTTGGTTTGTTTGAAACCAATAGCAAAAAAGATACGGACACAAACAAGTAACTGCAACAGAGGCTATAGGTAAGCCTGGCGTTTGAAAACCTACGTGCAGCGCGCAGCACCAAACCAACAGCTCTGTAAACTCCCCTAGTGGAAAGTCTAATTGAAGTGACTTTTGCAGTTTCGGTTTCGGGTTTGTTTCGTGCTTGCCTGGATTCTGAGAAAAGATATTTAGGGGACTTGTAGAAGAACGTCGAAGATAGGTCGTTTAGTGTTCAGGTAGTGTAACAGTTGTCGGTTTTGGGTTCGCATCGCTACTTAAAAGAAGACCAAGTAACCTTCAACCTTTTGGGGGTGCTACAACTCTAGATAATCTCAATGGACTGCCCTTGGTTCCCCGGGGATACTGGACAATTAAGCTATGAGTTTGCACGGCCTGCATTTCGCATTTCCCTCAGGCAATGGGACCGGCCATGACCCCTGAGTCGTAAGAGTTTCCCAAAGGGACCAAAGTGATGTTATGGGGGATACTTCCCCAAATCATCATAGTAATTCCTAATATCGAAACCCTACTAGAAACTCACATTCTACTATAATCCCCAAATCATAATAGTAACTCCTAATATGGAAACCTTACATTCTACTATAAAGGTACTTCGGACCCTTTGGGTTTGTGGAGCTCCTGGGAACTCAAACCCTGGCAACTCTAAACTGCCAAAGCCTTATGAAACCTTTAGAGACTCCAGAAACCCTTCTCGAACTCTTAACCCCTGAAGCCTAAACCCCCAAGTCCTGGTCAAACCCTCAAAGAACCGCTAAATCCTCATCAAGCCTTTAAACAACCCCTTGAGGCCCTGAACCCTGCTTCGCAGTTGTCAAGGTGGCCTATGAACCCGAGCTCTGCCCCAACCTCTCCAACTGCCAGGCAAAGTGCGCAAATGGTTTGCGGGGTTCAGGCTTCGGGTTTAGGGTTTAGGGTACAGTGACACGGCTTCTCAAAGTTCAGCAAGTATGTTTGCTTGGAGTTACAATTCAAGATTGAGAACAGTCTCTCACCTTTAGGCCCTAAGCCGCTCCTCGGCCGTTGCGTTTGGTGGTAGATGTTCTCGCGCTGCCTTTTAGGATTGTGTTGGTTTTTAGGGCTCGGGGAGCAATTCAGGGTAAAGAATTGGGGCACATTTGTCAATGGGTGTGGGACGGCGCCATCGTGTGGCTGCGAGGGGTTTGGCTGCTGCTCGTAAACCCCGAGGCCAAGCCCTCCTCGTAGGGATTATATATTATATAGGGATCTACTGATTACGGCTTGCGGTTTAGGGTTTAGGGTATTATAGAACCCTGGCAGAACCTTTGTATAACTCTCGGAGCACATAGGAAACCTGCAAAACTCTCAAAGAGGTCTTTCGAAGCAGCAGCCGACACCCCAAGTGCATGTCCAGCATTCTGAGCGACGTCGGCACGCCCTAAAATTTCTCCAAACCCATCATATCGTATACAGTAGAAGCCATAAAGTTGGACCATCATTATCCCC